GATCTAGAAGTTCACTGGGTGCTTTGGACAAGGCGTTTTGAAATGCTGACATAAAACTGAATTAAATGATTGAAAATCAAAATACACTGAAACACTATAACATGTATAAATCATATACCGTATTCGACATAATAAGTGACCAGGGCACTGTCAAAATTAGAAATAGGGGCCTCTTATTATAATATTTTGGTAAATGGTGAACGTAAATTTTGTGGTCTATGCTGTCAGCCTGAAATGTTTATTTACGACAGATATATTTTTCCAGAATTTAATTGCCCATAATGTAGGCTACATATAACACACGAGTGCGTATAATACACGGAAAAATAAGTCCTGTGTACATTGGTCAATCGGAAGGGGTGCTAATTAGGATTGTTCACTAGCCAATATATTAGCAAATATCGCTTTGGGCGCTTATAACGTCGAATACGGTATTTGATTTTTTGTATTATTTGGCAAAATGGCTTAAAATCAAACTAACTTGTTCTGTGTATCAAGGCAGGAGTGAGTGAGTGAGTGAGTATGGTTTTACGCCGCTTTTAGCAATATTCCAGCAATATCACGGCGGGGGACACCAGAAATGGGCTTCACACATTGTACCCATGTCGGGAATCGAACCCGGGTCTTCGGCGTGACGAGCTAACGCTTTAACCACTAGGCTACCCGACCGCCCCTATCAAGGCAGGAGATAGTCAGAGACAACAATGTGGTATAGGTCCGAATCTCGTTCCATGTGTTGGGAGATGGTCCTGAGCACAATACACTTCTGTTCTGACTTCGAGTTATGGTTGATTAGAGCATTTTCGTTGTGGTTAAGTCTGTGATGTCATGTTGAACAACAAGTCTTGGGCTGGCATGTTACATTTGTTCATGGGGTATAAATTTTGATTTGAACCATAATTAATAAATAAGTCTCCATTATGTTCTGAGGAAACAGTTATCTTGCTTTGGTGTAAAAAAATTCTGAAAAAGTTTCATGTCAAAGTTGATTCAGTTGATATTTTTGCTGTTTCAGACATTAATCTTCTAAAATATGTGTAGAATATACAACTCAAAACAAGTTGAAAGGGGGCGGTCGGGTAGCCTAGTGGTTAAAGCGGTTGCTCGTCACACCGAAGACCCGAGTTCGATTCCCGATATGGGTACAATGTGTGAAGCCCATTTCTGGTGTCCCCCGCCGTGATATTGCTGGAATATTGCTAAAAGCGGCGTAAAACCAAACTCACTCACTCACTCACTCACTCACTCACTCACTCACTCACAGTTGAAAGACTGTTGCAATACCCACCACCCTTGACAGACTTTTATGTTACAACGTGCCTCTTCTCAAACAGGAAGACAATGAAACATTTGTTAGGTTGCTGTATTTTATAATAATTCCGCCCGTGTTTGTGCTTTCCAAGTATTGCCATTAGGCCATGGATCATGGATCATGGATCATGGATCATGACACTCTTTCATTCACCCCTGGGGTGAATCCATGTTAGACAGCGTCCTGTGCTTGTCATACAAGGTGAGCACGAGGATCGCTGTCTGACTTCAGAGCTCAAGATAAGCTGCGTATTGGCGTAATATATGCATTAAATAAACTGAAATATGTGGACAAATCAAATCCTAGTGTATCAAATATGCAACATATAAATGTGTTATTGATATAACAGTGATGGGTGATATACTACTATTAGATAAAAGATTGCGTTTATTACAACTGTTAGATGAAAGATTGCGTTTATTACAACTGTTAGATGAAAGATTGCGTTTATTACAACTGTTAGATAAAAGATTGTGTTTATTACAACTGTTAGATAAAAGATTGCGTTTATTACAACTGTTAGATAAAATGATTGTTTATAAGCAGATGGCGAAATTCACTTACCGACAGTTACAATTGGAAAACTTAGTGATAGATGTCAATTGAAAAGCACATGATGCCTAGTCAATGTACTTGTTTCTTAAGCAGTCACTTTATTGGTTATTAAAATATAGTCACTTTATTGGTTAATTGCCTTTATACAATGCTAGGTTTTGGAAACAAATGGCTTCCCGTAGACGGGGCCCATGCAGATGCAGACGGGTATATGGAGAATCTAACCCGAGTGTCTTTTGATATCAAATATATCAACATGAGTTGATAAAAGTGGAAAAACTCGAAGCTTGCAGATTTTATTTATCATCCAACATCATTCTTCCAACTTTTTCATGGGCAGTGTCTTAAAGGGCAAGTTCACACGGAAATGAACCTATTTTTCTTGTACTTTTTCCACATTAAAAGTGTTAACATAGAAGTGTCATAGACAAAAATATAAAAATATCACAATTAATTAACATATTTTTCGCATTAAAACGATTAATATTTTTCACATTTACCAAGTGTTCTATTTCCACAACAAAAACACCATGGCTTATGCCCCTTGCAATATGACGTCATTGGTGCCAATTGATAAACATTATGACGTCATCATGCTTTGTTAGAGCCGCTTCACGTGGTGTAGGTACAGGTGTGTGATTCTAGCGTCTCAGATGCCAGCCAGCATAGTGTTATGCTGAGTCACCACTACGCCGGAGTGTGTCGTAGGCCATGTTGTTTTACCGCAAACTGGTACTTGATATCTTTTGCGTTGAGAATAGACAGGGACCCAGTTGAATTGGCACCAATTACGTCATAATCTAAGGGGGATAACTCAGGCCTGTTTAGCTCGAAAAACGAAGGCCTCATACTGGCATATCATTTTCACACTATTGTGAGCTTCCTACGTTCACTGTGAAAAAAATGAGTGTATATTTTCAAACACAGATACTAATTAATTCTAAAATTGCGTTTTGTTTAGAAAAAGAAAGAAAGTGATTTTTGCGTGTACACTTCCCCTTCAAGTGTTAAACAGCACTGCTGACTGCTTCAGTAGCAGAGCCATTAGTGATGTCATTTGATTGTGATGTCATGGTAGCCACTGACGTCACAATGGTCTGCAAAGCATTGTGATGCAATTTCATTGCAGCATATCTACAATGTAGATATCGCTTGATCTTACCCAAGTGATATCTCCTGTGGGAGCCAGTTTGGGATGATAGACTATTAATATAGTTTTAAATGATTTACAGGGATTGTTACAGAACAGTTTTTATTTTAAAATGTCCAAATGTCAAGAAATAGGAAAGTAATTCTTTTTTGAATACCTCTATAAATTGTAGATACACAATCAAAACCAAAGACCTGGGTAAAGTACCCCCAAAACCAAAAGCTTATCTATAGCTCTGTGACTGGGTTGGTTGTATGTCGTAGAAAGCCCGCTTTCCTATAGCTACAATACACCACTTGGATGGAATTGAATTCCAGGCAATATGGAGACCTCCACACTGATAGAAGATTGTGTGTGGCATTAAACAACAAACAAACAAAGAAGTGCTTCATCACTCTTTCAAAGGGGCGGTCGGGTAGCCGAGTGGTTAAAGCGTTCGCTCGTCACGCTGAAGACCCGGGTTCGATTCCCGACATGGGTACAATGTGTGAAGCCCATTTCTGGTGTCCCCTGCCGTGATATTGCTGGAATATTGCTAAAAGCGGCATAAAACCACACTCACTCACTCACTCTTCCAAAGCCTCGCTCACCCACCCACACATTCACGTTGCATAATGACAGTGAACCTCGGAAGATATTTCAACTCAAATTTCAAAATATTACACCCCAGAAACCATCCATGCGAGCCCATGTGCCCCTGCGATTAAACCGCCCCACGTTGTCGCAGTGTCAATATTGTCTTGATATCCCATACACACATCACAGACGCATCTCTCCTTGTAGCTGACTTACCTTTCAGGGTATTGATACAAACACAAGTAATGAAAGCCTTAAATTGAAACATGTAGCGTTAGGCTTGTGTACATTTCCGCGGACTTGATCGGCTTTCTGTGGCCTTTCTGCTTTGTATGGAAATTGGATTCCGACACAAAGACCGTCATGATCCGTCTTGCATTTAATCCTCTCAACATCTCATTGAGACCTCTGACCCTTGACCTCTGAAGGTCACATGTCAGAAAGGGTAGAGTGCATGGATAGGATTGTGTTTTTCTTGTGTAGACATTGCACTTATAGAATGCACTGTGAGAGAGGGTGCTAGTTGAAATGCTATGTTACGTCGACAATATTTCACCCATATATGACTTTAACGTAGTAGCCATGGTAACATTATAATAGTTTGAAAAAAAGACAGTATAATAACAAGCAATATATGCTGCTAAAAAAAAGTTATCTGTCATGACATTTCTGATGTTTGCATTTCCGGTGTCCCCTGCATTGATATTGCTGGAATATTGCTAAAAGCGGCGTAAAACCATACTCACTCACTCACTCTGATATTTGCACATGTGCATTTTGGTCAATTCTCAAGCTGATTGGTCACTTGAAACCATATGGCGTGACAGTGCTTCTTCCTTGTTCATTGGGCTCATCCATCGATCATGACGTCACAAACATTGTGTCATCGGTTGTATCCATATTGTAGTCCATTTCTCCCATGTGAAGATCAGGTCTTCCGCAACCCATGCTTGTCTCCCCATGAAGATCCGGGGTAGAATAGGTCTTCAGCAACCCATGCTTGCTGTAAAAGCAGACTATGCTTGTCGTAAGAGGCGACTAACTCAGGCTCGCTGACTTGGTTGATGCATGTCATCGATCCCAATTGCGTGGATCGATGCTCATGACATTAATCACTGGATTGTCTGGTCCAGACTCGATTATTTACAGACCGCCGTCATATAGCTGTAATATTGCTGAGTGCGCCGTTAAACAACAAACCAACCAACCAACCAACCAACCAACCAACCAATAAGTGAGATAACATGTTATGCATTATATACATTATTTGATGAATAGTTTCACCCTGTGTGTTTCTGTATTCTAAAATCAGGTATTGTGCAAACCTTTGTTGCTATATTCTAAAATATATGATATTTACCATACGGATTAACATTTATCAACTCTAACATTTCATTATCTTTTCAGGTGAGATGGAAGATGAATGGAAGTTTATCTCCCGTTTCCATGGATACTGGGTTGCTGTTGCTAGGCATCATGGGGTATGTCACCATGGCAACGGCGTGTCCAACGCTATGTCAGTGCAATTTGGACTACTTTGTGTACTGTCGAGGGATCGGCCTGAGTGACGCCCAGCTGCAGACCGTGATGACAGAGATGCCCAAAAGAGTCCGGCTCCTGGACTTCGGATACAATCAAATCTCCACGCTCCCTGCAGGAATATTCTCCAACCTGCCAAACCTCCGAACATTGAACCTAGAGTCCAACAAGATTAACAATCTCCCAAACGAAGCCTTTCAGAATCTACCCATTCTGGAGGAAATATATTTGAATAATAACGTTCTTCACCAAGTCACAGCATCACCATGGAGAAATATACGCCATTTGAAGAAAATTGATCTAGCCGACAATTACATTGATTTTTTAGACTCTGGAGCCTTCACATCTCTCACAAATTTGACAAGTTTAAGTTTACGAAGCAATCAAATTGGTGCGATTGAAACAGGAACGTTTGCAGGTTTGTCGTCTCTCAGTTTGTTGGATGTTTCCAATAATGTGATTCATCGTGTGGCAAATGAAAGTTTTTCTGATTTGGAAAATCTGCGGACATTGGATCTGTCGTACAATATGTTGACAGACATACATTCTGGAATGTTTGCAGGGTTGAGTCGTCTGTCAAGTCTTGTTTTAGACTTCAACAAAATCTCTGATCTCAGTAGAATATCAACATCAGACTTCTATCCCAGTTTGGTGAAACTGTATGTGTCGAACAATGATCTCACCGCTGTTCCTGGAAACGTATTTGTGAATTTTCGCAAGCTCAAAGAATTGTGTTTGAATAAAAACAAAATTACATTGATTCCGAGAGGAGCCTTCCTTGGTCTTGACTTGGAGAAACTGTCACTCTCGGACAACAAATTAACAAGATTACAGCGCGATATGTTTCAGCAGGTTCGGAGGATCCGATATTTGGATTTTAGTCATAATAAAATAACTTCACTCAGTACTGGAGTTTTTGACAGTTTTCGGGAAACTATTCTCGTGTTGCAGCTTCAAGATAATGAACTTGTGTATGTTGATCCTGGTCATTTCCGAGGGATGGTTCATCTGCAGTGTTTGAATCTCTCGAAAAATTCCATTAACATTATCAAAGATGGATCTTTCAGTGACATGCGTGACCTTCAAGATCTGGTGCTCTCTGAAAACGACCTTGAGAGGGTCACACCTGGAATGTTGGAGGGTCTCTCCCTTCAGAGACTGTATCTCGTTTGTAATCCGTTGCGACACTTTGTCGGATTCCGGTACGACGAGCAAAACACGAACCCGAAAAGGATTCACATGAATTTGACAGTTGTCAGTGAGTCAGACTCCATTGTGAAGGTGCAGTGGCCATATTCGTCAGGTTCACAGATCTACTGGACTTTGAAAATCGTGTGTTTGAATGAAGAGGTGTGTTCGGCACCGCCGAAAGACGAATACCTTGCTCCGTTCAGAACGGACCACGTGGTGCGAGGTCTGTCCGCACTTTCGGACTACTATGTGTGTATAAACCCAGTGTTCGTGAACACAGGTGTTCACATTGAGCAGTGTATCCATGTGAGAACTCAGAGGAACGCCTTCACAACCAGTTCCAGTATTGTGGCGACAGAACAACTGTCTTCTGGGAGCCAAATGGCGCCCGCTAAGGCGACATGGGTGATACCAGCCATCATCGTGGCATCATTTTCAGTATTACGAAATAATGCCTTCAGTCAATGAATGAGTACATGCAATATTAAATATATGAAATGAATTTGCGTGTGGAGTTGTGTCCCTTGGAAATCTGCTGGTATTTTTTTCAAAATTAAATATTTGCCCTGATTAATAAGATGAATATCCTCGGCAAATGTCAGTTTTTTTACATTCATTTGACTACAAGCAATAATACTTCATAGGTAACTGAAATACTGTTCAAAGCAACCCCACATCTCACTCACTCACTCACTCACTCACTCACTCTTGTCATAAGAGGCGACTAACGGGATCAGGTGGTTCGGCTTGCTGATTTGGTTGATGCATGTCATCGTATCCCTATATTGCGTGGATTGATTCTCATGATGTCAATCACTGCATTGTCTGGTCTTGACTTGATTATTTACTATTATTATTTATGACCGCTGTCATATAGCTGGAATATTGCTGAGTGCGGCATGGCATTAAACAAACAAACAAAAACAATCATTATATTAAGGGGAAGAGATTGCATAGAGGTCTGAATCAGTGATTTACAGTGCAGAGTTGTCTCCCTTAGATATGCCTTGATCTGCTGACCATGGTTTCAAATTCCTATTTGCCCTGATTACTGTACTTGATGTGTCATTTGTCATCACTTTCTTTTACTGACAAGAACAACCTTCTTTAAATTGGCCCTCTGCCCCCAAGAAAATGTGCAGACAAACACTGAAACTCTGAAATAGACATTGTGACTTTCTCTCCTCTCCTCAGAGGTGGGGTAGGGGCGGTCGGGTAGCCTAGTGGTTAAAGCATTCGCTCGTCACGCCGAAGGCCCGGGTTCAATTCCCGACATGGATACAATGTGTGAAGCCCATTTCTGGTGTCCCCCGCCGTGATATTGCTGGAATATTGCTAAAAGCGGCGTAAAACCATACTCACTCACTCACTCAGAGGTGGGGTAGCCTAGTGGTTACTGCATTCGCTCGTCACACCGAAGACCTGGGCTTGATTCCCACATGGGTACAATAGGTGAAGCCCATTTCAGGTGTCCCCCTGGAATACTGCTAAATGCAGCTTGTAGTATTTTGCTTGTAAATAAGTATTGATCTATTGCTTTGTGGGGGATTTACATGTAAGTTTGATATCTTCATGAACCTCTTGCTCATAGTTGAAAGTGTTACTGGGTTATGTTATTTAGAACTTGGCTCTACTTTAACAGAAGTGAGATCCTTTAATTCTTTTTTAATTAACTAGATCAGTTTCCTTGTACAAAAAATAGTCAAAACTTTCTTTTCTTGCCATCATTCCAAAGGTAGGGTAGCAAGCATATTTTACGAGTGCTTCAATCACTTATGTTTCCCATTCCATTGGCTTAAGCTTTTGTGAACAGACAATGTTAAAGACAGAGCGTTAAGTAATTTGTTCATGAATTAATATCTCATGAATATGAATTATGTAATTAGAACATTCATGAATGCATATTATAATTCAATTCAAGCAGTAGTTTCTCAGTTTCTAGAAAAATAAATAACACCGTATGTTGAATATTTGACTGTTTGAAGTGAGCTGTCTTGGACAGAACTGTTTGGCCTTGAGCTCACAGTACTTCATTAACAACAGGGGTGGTCCGGTAGCCTAGTGGTTTAAGCGTTCGCTTGTCATGCCGAAGACCCGGGTTCAATTCCTGACATGGGTACAATGTGTGAAGCCCATTTCTGGTGTCCCCCGCCGTGATATTGCTGGAATATTGCTAAAAGCGGCGTAAAACCATACTCACTAACTCACTCCCATTTACTAAAACACCTACTGTATTTGATGCTAGTAGACTGAAAAGTCTTTGGCACAGATTGTAAATGTAAGATTCAAGATTTGGATTATTTTTTGAGGTTTACTTCATGAACAGATGAAGCTTGATCAGTTTATTATATTTCTTTTTGTTTCCTGATTGAAGCAACTTTTGTATTGATTACTGATTACAGACACAATCATGTGTAAATTATTGATTTGACATGTTGTGAAATATGTAAATAATCAGAATGTTTTAATATATACTTTAGTGCTATGTAAGTTATTGAGATGTTATGAGATGTTGATATGTCAGTTTCATTTTCATTTTCATGTTGTTTTTATTAGAACTGTTTTGTACAGTCTGATGTAGCTGTAGGGTACGGAGGCGGGCGTGATGGAGGAGACATGCTGTATGCTGTGTGTTGTATGAATGGGAAGGATGCAGCGACTATGAATCTTGCCTTTTATAATGTTCTTTTTATTATATCACCCTTGAAGCAGCAATACCCTTCCTTTTCATGTTAGTTTTCATGTTAATGTCATCGTCATCATACAGCTAAAATGGATAGAATTCTCCTTAAACCCCTCGCATGTTATGAGAAATGAGCGGGCCACTGTAACTTCATAATGCCCTCATATTGCTTGACGATGGGCCATTATTACGCCTGTTGTTAGGTGACGTCAACCCTAGGGATAGGTGACGTCATATGCCGTTTAATAGTGACGTCGTTTGGTTTGTTCTATGACGTTTCTATATTTGTAAAAGTGGGCCAGTGACATTCGTGTTGATTGCAGTAAATGTTTTGAAACCCGATATTGTTGTTTCTTTATATATGATGACAAATTCCACCCATTTCAGATATAATAACGGTAACGCTATTTTTCAGGGCATTATCATTTGCAGAAGCTCTCCCTCTTTTCAAATGCCCTTCTTCGTCGGCAATTAATGAAAGACCTCGGAGTTTTGCAAATGATATGCCCTGAAAAATAGTGTTACCTTTATGTTAGTTGTTCAAAAATGAATGCTCACAGAAAATACTGTTACCATTTTTGAGGAATATTATTTGAGGAATTATTTACTACTGCTCATCCTCGGACAACAAATTTAACATATTGTAACTGGCAATAATCTCCCTGCTTTGTCAATGTCCTAAGCTCCTAGGGTGCTTATTACAGAGACTACGGTAACTGAAATATCAGGCAGCGTCAATGACTGGATTTGATCCCACAAGATAAGTGTGGAGATGCTGTGTGCTGTGTGGGAGGCTGGGTAGCCCAGTGGTTAAAGCGTTCACTCATGCCGAAGACCTGGGTTCGATTCCTGACATGCATGGGTACAATGTGTGGAGCCAATTTCAAGTGCCTCTGTCGTGATATTGCTGGAATATTGCTAAAGGCGTAACACCATATTTATTCACTCACTTACTCACTCACTCACTCACTCGGAGTAAAAAATGCCAATTTGTTCAAAAAGCAAGAACCTCCAACAGGACAATGTTGTAACATCATTAATTATTGGTTAGAACATTAGAAATGAACATTTTGAAGATATCTGAAATATCTGAAATTTGATAAAAAAAAAAGGTGAAAAATCATTGATAATATTTTTGGAAACCTATTTAAATTTCTCATCCCTAGGCACGAAAGCAAGATAAGCTCACCTGTTATTAATATGATATAATGTTGAAAGGGGTATTGCTGTACTAGGGTAAAAGGATCAAAGGGTGGTGTGCTTCCAAGTGTGTGTGAAAATGTCGGATATGTTAACTGAGATCTGAATAAAATAAAAAATGTTTTAAATAAATGACATTGTTTGTTATGCTTGGTCTGATGTCCATTCCTGTTGCATGTGTAGAACATTATGTTTGTTTGAGGATGGGTGGGGACGTCTAAGGTTTCAAGTCACTGTGCAGAGCTGCGTCAGACGGGAATACCAGAAACTAATGTCAGAAACTAATACCAGAAACTAATACCAGAAACTAATACCATGGGTTTGAATCCCCTGTTTACTCTGATTACCCCAGCCGCTGTGCTCGTGGACTTCACCAAAGTGGTAAACGTCCAAGAATGCAACACTTACTCCAACATCAAGCTGACACGCCGGGATATAACTGTTCCAAAATACTGTTTAAAGCAGCAATAAACCCAACTCACTCACCCACTTATCCCACATCAAGCTGACACACCGTGATATAACTGGAATACTGTTCAAAGCAGCGTTAAACCCAACTCACTCACTCCTCCCACATCAAGCTGACACGCCGTGGTATAACTGGAATACTGTTCAAAGCAGCATTAAACCCAACTCACTCACTCCTCCCACATCAAGCATAAACGCCGTGATATAACTGAAATACTGTTCAAAGCAGTGTTTAACCCAACTCACTCACTCACTCCTCCCACATCAAGCCGACACGCCGTGATGTAACTGTTCATGTATTTCCACAAATTGTCAGAAATAGTCACTCAACTGTGGCCTGCCTCCGTGGTCTAGTGGTAGAGCGTCCGCCCGGAGAGCGGAAGACCCGGGGTTCGATCCCCAACCGCGTGATACCAAAAGACGTTAAAAGATGGTACTTGTTGTTATCCTGTCTGGCGCTCGGCATTAAAAACTAAAACAACTAAAACAAGGACTGGTCGGCTCGGAGTCAGTATGCTGTGTCTGAGTGGGGTATTCATGTTAAACTGCGGCATGGTATCTCAGTGAGCTAGCACTATAAATCGGCATCAGTCCGGTCTAGTACAAGCATCCACACAAACACACACACGTACATGCACGTCGCTATATAAGTGCAATAATCTTGGACGCGACGTTAAACCCCATTTCACCTCACCTCACCTCACTCTACTGTGCAGCTTGCATGTGTGACTGTTTTGAATATTGCAAGCGAAAGTGGAGTGATACCAGAGAGGGCGAGGAGTTCAAATTTATTTATATTATAATATTAGCACAAGATCCACACAAATAACTTATTGTTGAAATATGTTGCAGACCGCTTTAAACAAATTGAGATATCGTAAAGACCCGAAGCAATTCAGACGTTCACTATTTTGGTGAAACCCACGAGGGTTGAGGTGGTGACAGTCCAAGATGCATAATCAGGGTGAATCTGGGTGTCGAACCCGCAATCATCAGACCCTGGCACAACGAGGATGTGACTCACAGCAAACTGCGGCAACTTCGGCGACTTGTACCTCTGATTGTGCATTGAAGTAAAGTACATGTTGAGAAGAAAAAATAATGAAAACAAAACAAACATTGTTTCGGTTTATGAAACATGAACATTTAGCATAAACGCCACATGCTTCGCGGAAATCAGATCGTGGCATTCGTTTCACGTGCAGAAAATGAATGCTGACAGGTGGTGCATTGCAATCGTCAGTGCAGGCTTGTCGTTGTTTGGAGCAAGACACACTTAACGGTAGTTGACCAATATTCGTGGTCATAAAAAGAGAATCACGTTTAGTTCCCCATATGTCATAGGAAGAGAATCATGTATAGGTCCCCATTAATCGTATAATTTCAAGTGGAGTAGAAAAGACGAGAGGTAGACA